GTATATCTGATTGAATACAACAAACCAAATTTGTTATCCTTGGCCTAGAATTTTAACCACCTAACATAGTGTAGTTAATTTAGCCAGGATTTCAGTCCTGGTCAAATAAGTGATAACCAGATACCTGGTTAGACATAAACTTTGGTAGTGAGATAAAATAACCAGGAATTTAACCAGGAATATCAAGTTAACCCAAACAGGATTTAACCCAAATTTTGCCTTAATTTGTATTACGCGCGGGAAAATGCACCACATTTGGGCCGAAAGTGGTGCATTTTCCCTTGCGTAATACAAATTAATACAAAATTTGCAAATTTCGTAGCGCTACTAGTTTTCCTCATTTTACAACATTTCGCATCCAAACTTTGCAATTTTACTAATTTTAACATGCTCTTTCTAAGTCTTTCTAGGTGATGGATTTTGTTCTTCTTGCCTATTAGCCTATAGATCAAAAGTTTAGTCTATAGCTGGAATCATCCATTGATAAGAGCTGGTCCGCAATTTCGAACTGGTAAAAATCTGCGAATAGCGCAATAAATGGAAGGACAGAACCTTAATACGCATGCCTCTGAACATCTCTTTATCATACTTGGACACATAACACTTGAGACCATATACCTCGCCAAGTCAATGTACTGTATATTGACAAAAGAAAATGATAAATAAATGAGGTAGGGGAACGGAGTTAAGAAGAGTAACATGATTTTTCATGGAATTTATCACAAGGGATATGCGAATTTTTCTAGAGGGAAAGATATAGTCTCAACCAGTTATGTCCACGACTGTAGCGTGTACACTATATGGCTACAGGATTAGATAGTTAAATATATTTCCCGCAAAACCGAAACCATGGCCACTAGTGCTGAAATGAAGAATGTTTCTCCCCTACGTATATCCTGCTACCTACTCCTGGTATACTGGATATCAAACTTCGTGCAAATTTTTTTTTTCTATTTGGATATACAGAATGCGTTAGTTAAATATTATTCTTTAACATAACCGTTGACATAAAATGCATGACCTACTATATAATAACGTATAAATTTAAAATACCTAATATGAAATAAATGGATTGGAACCCAATAAAAAGTCACAATTTTTAAAAGATTTAACAATTAGTCGCCGAAGACGAGGTGATTACATCATTACAAGCCTATATTCACTGAGCCGAAGTGTGAGAAGTGAATATAGGCTTGTAATCACCGAGCCTGAGGCGACTAATAATTCAGTATTTAAAATGTTTTTTTATAAATATAACTAATACGCGTGTTTATTTTAGTTATTTTATGAATATAATTTGCATAAATAAATTTGTAAAGTGAATCCACATTGATATTGCAGTTGAATTTTAGTCAAGTACACCACAGACCACAGTGGCAACTAGACGCTCAGCCTCACTACAAACACTCACGCACACAGCATTCTTGTGGTCAACAGGACCTCAGGGGCATGGAGTTACAGACTTACAGTCAGTATCTAGATTTTATATTACATTTAAACTACGTGAAGCGTTCCTCTTTCAAGTTCCTAACTCATTTGGAATTTTCATAATTAGCTTTGCAAATTCGAAAAACTCTTTGCAAATTCTTGAGGGAATTTGCAATTTTCCTGTCGGCCGTTGCAATATTCCAAGCTTCCAACGCAAAGAAAGTTCCTTTCAAATTTCCCTAACTTCCTGTTTTTTTCCTGACTTCCTGTTCTGTTCTGAGCGTCATCATTGGCGGATTATTTTTGTTAGCCAATTACAACGAGCAGGACAGAACAGGAAGTTAGGAACTTGTAACAGGAAGTTAAGAACTTCTAACAGGAACTGAGGAAAATTTATTTTGCTCTTACAGGTAAACTATGTGAAGCGTTTCTCTTTTGACTTCGTAACTCATTTGAAATTTTCCTCATTAGGTTTGCAAATTTGAAAAACTCTTTGCAAATCCCTTGAGGGAATTTGCAACATTCCTATCGGTTGTTGAAACATTCCAATGCAAATAAACTTCATTTTAAATTTTCCTAACTTCCTGTTTTAATTTCCTGACTTCCTGTTCTGTTCTGTTCTGAGCGTTGTTATTGGTCCATTATTTTTGTTAGCCAATTGCAACGCCCAGAACAGAACAGGAAGTTAGGAACTTGTAACAGGAAGTTAGGAACTTCTAACAGGAACTGAGGAAAATTTAGTTGGGTTTTAGCAACATTGCAAATTTCCTCAAGGGATTTGCAAGGGCGTTTTTTAAATTGCAAAAGTAATGAGGAAAATTGCAATCAATTTAGAAACTCAAAAGAGGAACGTTTCACGTAGTTTACCTATAAGAACATTGCAAATTCCCTCAAGGGATTTGCAAGGGAGTTTTTCAAATTTACTAATGTAATGAGGAAAATTGCAATCAAGTTAGGAACTTAAAAGAGGAACGCTTCACGTAGTTTACCTGTAACATACAGTATGGTCTTTGCCTTTGGACTTAAATGAAAGCCAATAAAATTATTAGATGCTAGGACAAAATCTATATAACAAGACGCTCCATTACACATTGTGACACTGTATGTTACTAATGCTCCTACATTTACAGTAGGCAAATTATAACTTTCCAACTTCTGTTATACGTCAGCTCTAACGTTGCCTAATTTTGTACTGTAGAGTATTGCATTTGAAAGTTGCATATGGCTAAGTTCTGCTTTTATTTTTCAGGTAGTATAATTGCCCGATGTGATTTCTTTTATCAACCCGTAGACGTAGCTACCACTGTATTGTATATTTTCTATTGGAAAGCATATTATCTCATGCATTTATTTTGAACTTAAATTGAAACATTGTGAGCGGTCGCTTAGGCTTAGCAGGATTTTGTATGATATATACAGTGGAATAATACAGTTTCCTTCCCGAAGCAATGTATTGAGCGTAATCATGTTAAAAAGAAATAAATGTCACATTTCACTGTAATTACTGCCATCTCCGAAATAAAAATATCTTTGTTTTGACTTTTGGATACATTCCATTGAAGACAACGATGTTTTTATCTCAGGATCGATAAAGATCCTGTATTGATACCACGCTTTCTTACCAATTACCATGCTAGTGTAAATTGACATAATTGTCATAATTACGTTATGTGCAAGACTAGCCTGCGTTGCCCGCGCGCAGGCTAGTGCAAGACGTGCAAGGCTTTTGCTACATGTGCCGGTGTCACAGGAGATTCGCCTCCCCAGGAGATTCGCCCCCCCTCTCAAAAGGGGGGCGATATTCCTAGGATATTCGCCCCCCCGGGGCGAATCTCCTAGGAATATCGCCCCCCAGGGGGGCGAATCTCCTAGGAATATCGCCCCCCTTTAGGAATTTCGCCCCCCCCCATATAAATTTTGAATTTTTGATCTAAAAACAAAACGATTGCAAGTTGAAAAGATTTATTGTGTGATTTATTTATTTATTACAAGGAGACAAAATTACATACACATTTTAGGCTTCTTAGCAGCTGGTGGTGTGCACAGTCTGCATAACCACTCATTTGAGGTACTTAGACTAGTGTCATATTCTACACATCTAAAGTGGAACCATCACAGAGATCGCATAAAATCATGTTGTCGTATTCTTCTGGCAGTTTACATTCACATAACATATTATAAAAACAATCGCTTGCAAATTTTATCAATACGAGTGTTAACAATAGCCGCCACAGTAATCACTTGCTAACAATAAACTATAGGATTAGTAAAAAATCTATGGAATGTGTTGGGAAGCGTATTGATTATTGTCCGTTGAATCGTCAACTTTCCGTGTCAGTGATGTAATCTTGATTCTTCACTTCCGCAAAGAAAATTGCATTATATATGTGGTGTGGTTTATTCAAATAATTTCATGATACTTTGATTTTATTAGTGCATGCCTTAAACATTTGAGAATGTAACTCTGCAAAACTAAAAGCTTTCTTGTCTTTTTTGAAACGTATATTATTGGATTATTGCCTATTGGCAAGTTCTACCCTTCGCTTCTGAGATTTACAAACTATATTGAAATAATGCAAGTAAAAAATAGTGACAAACCATACATTTTCCGATAACGACAAAACGTGGATGCAAAACAATACCAATAATTACAATAACCACCACGGTGATTACTTTTTAACAATGAGTTTAAGGATTAACACTGAAAATGCAAAATATGCATGGTGTGCTGTGAAGCGTCATAAGTCCTATTGAGTATTGATCTACTGTAACTGTGTAAAGCCCTTTCGATACATGTAATTGTAAATTTGTATTCTTACATGCAGGGCTTGAAATAACGTTCCCAAAGTTCCCGATCATGGTGATCGGCAGTCGTGACTTTCCCTGCTTTTTTCAGGTTGGAAACCGAAACCCTGCTTTTCCGCCGATCATAAGCAATTCCTTGCCGATCATTGATCGGTGATCGGTTGTTATTTCAAGCTCTGTCTTAACAATTTTGAATTGATACTGATTTCAAATGATTAAAGCCATGTAATAATTATCCCATGCAACTGTTAGGAAGGGCGAAATTTTGAACGGAGGACGAAAATCCTAAAGAAAAGGTGAAGTTTCTAAAGGGGGGCGAATTTCCTAAAGGGGGGCGAAATTCCTAGGATTTTCGCCCCCCTGGGGGGGCGATATTCCTAGGAATTTCGCCCCCCGGGGGGCGAAAATGTAGGGGGGGCGAAAATCCTGGGACACCGGTATCCGGTGATAAAACTCCGGTCGGGTAAAACACCATCAACAAAGTTAAAATAATTCGCGAAGGTCGGTCAGGTCAATATTCGAAGATTAAATGACAATTTTAATTCACCAAAGATAACGTGAACATACAACAAGGTAAGTTTGAAGTTTTATATCCATATTGTTCGTAATTATTGCGTTTTGATATATATTTTTTGAAAAATTCGAAATTAGTTGGCCCATCCCATCCGTCTCTGACAAGAATATACAGTCTCTAGAGAATTTTGGCGTGGGCCTGAAATTCGAGATAAAAGCCAATATATATGGCATAAATTATCATTGAGAAAGTGATATACGGTTCATGCATAACACGAGAATTTTTAAGAGTCTGCCACCAATGAATAGATTTCGAAATTTCATACTTTTTGGTTGTGTCAATAGTTGCTGATCGAGAGTACATACAAATATACAAAGTTTAAAAACGGTACGACTTCGTACAAGGTAATTTTAACAAAATTAAATTTTCAAGTGATATTGATTTCGATGTTTAATGAACCAACATTTAATACGAATTTTATCAGTTATTATTTACTTCCCTAATTCCCTGTTTTTTTAAATTAGTATCATAACGATTGTGAAGTTAATAGTGTGAAGCTGTAGTTTATTTACATGGCGTGTAGTCGGAAATATGGGCCAAATATGTGTGTATACAGAATGTATTTATATATACAGAAAGGCACGAAAGAGTTCTTGTGGTAGCGTTTATCACTAGATTATTTTAACCACAATATTACAATAGATCGACAGGGTTCTATATTATTGAGATTATCATTGTGTTTTCTATGTATAAATATACTCTATCTTCGATTGTTATGACTATCAATTATTATTATGACACGTGATATTATTATTTATTTTAATTACATTCTTGTCTATAAAAATCTAAAGTAATTTATAATTTACCAATTTCATACTTTACGGTTATTATTTAATTATTACAATTTTGTGACCATGCTGACTGCATTTGGTATATACAAGTGGTCAAGTTCTGTGAACAAATAATGTAACTTACAAATTAACACAATTAGAATATTATTGTGCCATGTGGACAGCTGTATAATCAAGTTTTATTCTATTTAGAATATTTCTCGGTTTGAACTTACGTACACTATTATAATGAGTACAATAAATTGTGTGAGAAAAATAAACACATTTTTAATAAAAATATTTCTTCACATACTTGTATTACAGGAATGTGAAGAGTGTACATAGTATAGGACATGCAAAGGCATGCTTTTTTACCATTAATGAATAATAGACGAAGGCCACTACCATCCTATTCTAGGTGATACTCAACAATATTTTTGACATTATTATTCACCCAGGTGACAAGTTATTAACTTGAATGATCTTGAGTTTAATGGATTAAAAAACCTCAATCTTTTAACCTTGGGCTATTAAATGTCAAGGGGATCAACAACCTTAGCATTTTATTGTAAGTTATTTAATGAACTGTGAAATGATCTTTACCATGGCACACTTCAGACATTATTATAAACACTTTGTGTTATGTCAAAATGTTAGATGATTTTAGTCATCAAGGATGACTCTTGCACATCACTGAGTTGTTCACATGAAGCTTTTCTCCATCTCTACCACACTGTCATTTTAATTAGGCTAATATCATATAAATCTACTTGTGATTACATTCTTGTGCATTGATGGGTTAAATTCTGAGTGATTAATAGGAGAATTGTGCTTACTTGTTTAATGGGTTACTAGTGGTATGGCAATGGTTTACCTATGCATTATGCTGCAATGTGCCCTGATGCCACTTTTTTTAACGTCAAATGCTAACACCACGTCCATAATGTTTGCACTAAATTAGTTTGCATTAAAATGGTTTGATAAACTCAGATCAAGTTTCCAATAGAATATCCAACAGCAGGTATTAGGTAGTTGCGATATTGAAAAAAATTGATATATCGATATCGAAAAAAAAATATCGATAATATCGACTATATCGAATTATGCAAATGAGAAAATGTAATTTAGTCAACTTGCATGTATACGCATCACAAACAATTAAAAAGAAGTGCATGAAACCAGTCATGGTATGTCTCAAAGATTTATTAACAACGGTTTATCTGTCATCTCCAACTCAGCTTTTAATTTCAATTGCCCACACACTTGTATCATAAATTCGCAATTGCCGCCATACACATGTTGTCTAAACTTCACTGATGAAAACAGTAATTGCCGAATAATCGGAGATTAAGTTGTTTAGTTACAACTTTCGATATTTTCGATATGCGAAAAATTGAATATCAAATATCGATATTTTTGAAATATTGATATTTATCGAGAAATATCGATATATCGCAAACTGCCAAGCAGGTATTATTACAGACGGTCTGACCACTATACGAAACCAGGTTATTGTACTGAGAATATTTTTGTTAAGAACCTCAATTCTAAACAATAACTTCAAAATAAAACATATGAGTATATAGTAATGCTATTGACAGCCCAAATGGGAAAAAATGACTTGATTTTAATTAACAATTTTTTTTATTTCAACACAATTTGAACAATAAACACTGATGTTAATTTGAGTATTTATTTGTAAGTAATATACTAAAATATTTTAATAAAACTCATGTCTGATCACTTTCACTTGATTTTTATATATATCTGAACATTCAGATTATTATTCACAATCAGAACTAACAGTATTTATTCACCTAACATGTTATCATTCACTGATACATGAACAGAAGAGTGAAATTGAAGAGATATTCCATGCCCACTTTTTACTTTCCAAAACTGTCTAATGTTCTTTGAAGTAATTACAGTAAAAGTAGATGGTTTTGGATTGTTGTACAAGCTGTGAAAAACTGTACAGGCTCCCGGCTTCTATTGGAAACCTTAGACTTCACTAGAGAAATGTGTAGGCAAATCAGGGGCGTCGGAATGGCTCTAAAAGTGGGGGGGGGGCACACTTAGCGCCTAGCTGCCAAAGGCGTGTGACATTCAAGGGCGGTCCGGGGGCCCAGAAAAAAATTTAAACTAGAGTCTCTGAAATGCTATTTCCTGCACTTTAGAAGGAGATTTAAAGAGGTCTAAAGGTAACAAAATGTCATAGAATATCTCAAATTGTTTTGTCTACACACGTAACTGAAATAATATCAATTATTAACTTTGTGGTTTATTATTGACCATTGTTAAAAAGTGTGGGGGGGGGGCAAAGACATTTAACCCCCTGCCCAACTAAAAAATTGGGAGGGGGGAGCCCCTGGATTAAGCAAATACTTTAATATATTGTACTGTACCCAAATTTCCCATTTAAGGGTTTTGCTTAATCCAGATACCATGTGGTGTGTGTATATATATATATATATATATATATATATATATATATATATATATATATATATATATATATATATATATATATATATATATATATATATATATATATTTAACAAATATAAAACATTTTTCGTGTTGATATACAGTTATATCAACACGAGTGGAAATTGAGAAAACGAGAAATT